GAATCAGGCGTAGCAGAGGTGCTTGAAGGAGTAGATGCCATTCTAAATCACTGCAGTAAACAGCAGGTGAGCTCCATCTTTTTCCACATCTCTCACTGCATTTGACTTCTGTCTAGGTTTCTTAGGCCAATAACCAAAGTTCGTTTCACTTCAACTAGTTCTGGTAGCTTTTGCACTGCTTTCCCCTAACCGTACAGAGTGGCAAACTTTGGCTATTGTATCCAACGCTAAGTGTGATCTTTCATCCTTGTAAATGGAAGGCAGAAACAGGATCCTGTCAGCCAGTCTGTTTTCCCAATAACTTTTCTGATTTTTAAAAACCCTGCTTTTAAGATCTCATCACAGTATAATAGAGTGAAAAATGAAGATATTCTGACTGCGTCCTATTATTACAGTGAAGACCTCAGATCCAACTCTGATTTCACTCTAGTTTCAAGTAGATTAACCTAAGCCTAATTCCCATTCAGTTCTGTGATAACTTTTTTCACAAATCAGCGTGCTGTCTCTATACACCCACCAGTATGGGTGAATGGCAGATTAATTTGTTGATGAAGTAGGCATTTTGCTTTGTAATGTTTACTCCCAAGAGAAAAATGGCTCTTCACATACTTGTTCATCCTCATTGTAACCCAATTTGATTTGCTTTTTTATTCCTAAAACTAAGAGAAAACTGGGTATCTCTTTGTGAATGCACTGTTTTCTTTTGCACTAGGTAATGATGCACTATAGTATCCCAGATTTCAGGAACACTGAGGAGTTTTTAACTTTACTTGCTCAGAAAAGGGGTATGCTGAAAAAGGGAGGTGTTCCTGATGTAGAGAATATAGCTAAATTACTACTGTGTGACTGGACAGGGTACGTATGCTATGAATTTTGCTCTATGCTGCTCACCTTTTTCATACTGTTAATCCAGCACAGCAGAAGCTCTGAGTCCTGAGAAGTACTTAGAAAGGAGAGGCTGCTTTTTTTTTTTTCCCCCTTCCCTCTCTCCCTTTTCTCCTTTCTCACATTTAACTTTGGTAAAGAGAGATGGACTGGCTAACAGATTTAGAGAATGCCATCCACAGATAATTTTCTAAAGTAGTGGAGGATACATAGAGTCAAAGTATGTTGCACGTTACTCCATAGCCAGTTTGCTGACTTCTGCTAACTTCCTGTTAGGGGAATTTGCCTTCCTCTCAAATACTGAGTCCATGTAGTCCTCTTCTACAGACAAGAAAGGATATGGCAAGTTTTCCGTGGCAATTTATAGTGGTTCCTATATTCTGAGGGTGGGAATAAATGTAACTCAGTAATTGAGTGTGACTATTTCCCTTGCTCAAGTGGTTCAGCTGCTTTTACAGCTCATGATTTTACAGGCAGATGATTTGTGGTGACAAAGTATGCTATTTCTTTTTCCTCTCAGGAGTGGGCTATCCATTTAATACTGTTATTGGCAACTTCACAGTCAAATTTAAATAGCTATTTAGCTGCTGTTAAACAGATGATAAAAAATGAGTAGTTAGGTTGAGGCGTTTGAGAGGTTTGTGCTCTGGGTTTTATTTTTAAATACAGTGATTTAACTATGTTATCTTTGGTTGCTTTTTAATGCTGATATTTTATTTTCCCAGAGCTAAAATAAGCTACCACTCACAACCTCCAGGATCTCAGAGACTGCCACCATATCTTACAGAAGACAAAACAGCTGAAATGCAGGAGTGCTTTAATTTAAAGAACCTAGAAGAAGAAAACAACAACACTGTTCAAGGTAGGACTGTTACTGTAATGCACTGCTACCAGTAAGAGTGGTAGTAGTGGTTTTAATGGAAGATTTTGAATGGAAGTCCTCCTGGGGTTTATATGATAGCTTTGCCAACATGCCGTGAATATGAACCTTTTAAGAAAGAAATGGATTCTGACGCAACAGAACAGTGCATCTGCGTGCTGTCTTAACACAAACTACCGCTAAGCAGTTCTTAGTTTCTGCTCATCTGGCCTAACCCTCCTAAATAGGAAATAGGGGAAAAAAACATTGACGAGCACAAAAACTGGCTAATTAGGCCAACAAAATACATTTTACTCAGTACAATCTATGCTCAAATCCAAGTCTTTCAGCTCCTAGCAGTCTTCTGTCGATGCCTCAAGGAAAGCTATTCTCAGAGCATTGTCCTTTGTTCTACCTGCTTATGTGGGAGTGCAGTCTTTTGGAAGGGAGGGGGCAGGACTGTCTTTTTCTAGCCCTGACCTAAAATGGCTGTCCTCTCAGGGGCAGGCATTACATCTGGTACTGTCTAACAGTGACTTAACAGACACTTCCTACATTTTTCTCAGCTTTAAAATACCCCAGTCCGGCAAGTAGCATCATTTTCCAGTCAGCTGGTATGGCAAATGGGATAATAGAGGAACATAAAGTGATAGAGGTAGCATCAGAGTGCGAAAACTTGGAAACAAGCGAGGAGGAGGAGGAGGAAGAGGAGGATTTCACAGAAAATGATGATGATCAAGACGATGTAGAAGAAGAAAAGGATGTCAAAGAGGTAAATCAGGGTTTCATTAGGCTGCTTCTACCTGCTTAGATTGTGACACTAAGTACCCAGTCAGTATCTTGCTGTAAACTGAGAATGTGTAGGCACTGTGGACCAAAAAAACTCTTTCTCCTGGAGATAAGGGTTGGGCTTTTTACTTAACTAAGGAAACAACATTGTTCTAAGTCAGTTCTAAGGCAGTGTGTTTCTGACCAACTATAGAAGGGGACATCCACACTATCATCAGTCTCTGTTAGGTTTCATTTGCATGGGGGACTTCATCGGTGATGTCTGAATAAACACGTATGTCTGACCTCTCTGACTTGTAGGAGAGCAAAGTTCAGGTCACCAGGAAAGCAACACTTGGAAAACAAACAAGTCCTACAAATTCAGAAAAGCAGATAGCAGGTCTGTATTAAAAACCCTGGCTTGAAGGATAGTCTCTAGTACTCTAGCACTTGCATTGGTTTCACTAACACATGATTTTCTTTTCTCAGAAAGCAAACATTCCAATTCACTATCATTCAGCTTGGATAAGACAGCAGATGAAGATGATTCCTACGATTTTAATACAGACTATGTGTAATGAATTATGTGTGAAGACACGGTTTGGAGACTCTTATTACTGGCTTTCAGAACAGTGATGAAGACTTGTGTTGTGGCAGAAGTTGGAGGAACACTGCATACCAGAGCTGCTTCGAAGATTCACAATTACTACTGTGTCAAATAATGTATATAATACTGTATCTCCCTTGATTGTTCCAGATTTTATACAAGTCTAGGAAACCGACTGTATTCAGCTTTAACTCCTAAACTTTATTTCCTGTATTAAAAAAAAGCCTATTTTTAAAAATTCTTAATAGACTGAATTAGTCTGTTCACTTTGCCTTATAAAAAGATGTTTCAAAACGATAAACCCTTTGTCTTTGTCTTTGAAAAACAATGGTAAATGTTTAATTCTAGTCATGTTCAAGCAATTAAATTTCAAGGTAAGTTTTCATCCTCTTTGCATAAAATTTAATTTTTTTTCCTAGAGGATTATAGAGACTGTACCCCTAGAGTAAGTTTTCAGTATACTTATGCAAAACTTGTAGAACTTTCATATGTAAAGTTCACTAGAAAATGCTGTGTATTTCAGCTAGACGTCAGGTATTTTATCTAAGCACTGCTTTATACGTTCAGAAGTTTCACCAGGAAAGGTAACTGAGATTATGGTATTTGTAATCTCTCTTCACTGGGGAATAAGCTGCTTGTTCTTACGGTGCTCTTTAACAAAAGACATATTTCCTGGTGACACCTATTACAGTTATCAGTTGTTGCCATGTATAAAGTAAAACGCCCTGTGCAATAAGGACACGTTACTGCACTCAGCCTATAGCAGAACTGATATGGGTAGCATGAGAATTACCAAGAGGCCCTGCAGCTGCTCAATGAATTAAGCATTTAGAATAAATGCCTGACACCAAGCATCTTCCTCTTACGTGGCTGTTTTCTTCCTCTTAAAGGTCTGATTTCTGTGTTCTTTAATATATAGTTGTATTTTCCCTAAATGTATGTTGAGGCACAGTCATCCTAGGCAGCTTGAGAGAGTATCAAGTGCAGCACAGACACATGCTGAAACACAGCCTGGTCATCAGAATTAAGTTGGTGTCAGCTGATCTAGTACAATCTTTCAAAGTTTGGTAACTGAACTTATTTCATTACTCCTAATCACTTCAAGGACAAGAATGGTTCTTGTTCATCAAAACCCAGGAAAAGAAACGACAGGTAACAAACCACAGATCAGCATCCACGACAGAAACGGAACTATAGGCAGTGACTGCAATGAGTCAAGCAGTTGGAAATCCTTTTAAATTATAAAGCAGTACTAAAACCATATTCATACAGGTGAACGAGCCCTTTAGCTCTCTGCTGCCCTGTATCTCAGACCACGCAACACTGAGCCTGTCACTGCATTAACACAAAGCCTTCTGTCTAAACATCTTATACTGAGGTCTGTTCACAAGCAGTATTACTGAATAAAAATGACAACTTGAGTTCAAACCTGTATTAAATGGAGTTGGCACAATAGCTGCTGAGATATATCAGCTAATAATGAACACTATGCAAATGTAACAGTACAACTATAAAAAAAAAAAACAACCACTTACCTATAGAAAAGGCAAAGGGCAGCTGGCTGCAAAAGGGCACAGGAATCTCACTTGATGAGTTCAAAGGGCCAGACTGGAAAAGGCACGGTGGGAAAAACTATAGCAGAGCCATGCTCACTTGAGAGAACTGTGAGGAACTTAGTAATAACAAAATTAATCTGCAATTCATACAGCCTGATCCCCAAAATAAACGTTTTGCACAATTTTAGAATAAGGTTGCTTTTGCAAAGATGAAATCAATTGACTTTAGTTTCAATCACTTGCTACTGTATTTAAGTACAAAGGAAACACACTTCATGTATTGGATCAAGACTAGAATCATATTGTCATTTACCTGAGGTTTGAGTCAACATGTTAAAATTACCTTTTATTTTTGAACGAAGTTTTCTCCACCACTTTACAAAAAATATTTTAGTGTTCACTGGCAGTTAAAACCACTTTGCATAGTGAAATAATACTTGAAAAATTAATCTTTCAATAAAACAAGATCCAATTTTGCAGAATTCTGCAAGAAAGACTTACACAGAAATGGTTGGGAGGAGATTTCATGCAAGAAAGGGTTGTTGATGAAACTATTTCACAGGATAAGAAAACAAAACAAAAAACAGAACAAAATCCAAGCCGCTCTTAATTACAGTACATTGCTGTGCAAGATTTGCATGGTGCAAGCACCAGCTAAGTTGAATCTTGATCTTAGAAACTGTGTCTTTCTGTAGCTGACAAAATGATCCTCCTCTAGAAGACTTGTAGTAAAGAGCAGAAGAACGCACAACAAGACAGAAATGAACTAACAAAAGTGCTAGTTTGTGGAGATCCTCCCTTGCTTTCTGTAGTGCTGCTGGAATAGCATCTGCTGTCGCACAAGTGAAGCAAGTCTCCTTTGGACCTGTGCCTTTCAGAACTGCACCTGAATAAGAAGTGCATCACCTTGTGCTCCAGAAGGCAAGGACTGCTCTGTAATACAAGTTGGCTAAAAAAAAGTTCTGCTTGGCTCCAGAAGTTTCCTGAGAAAATGCCATCAGTTATTAAAATTGACTCTACTTTGCTTCATAGGCTTCTGAATGTCTGCGGATCAGGCTGAACTTGCCTGTAGGGTCAGGGACATACCACTTCTCCCAGACTTCAGCGTATGACGCCGTTCTTCCCCATGGTTTGAAATGTCCATTCCAATGGAGCAGCTTGGCAGCTTTCACAAACTGAGGAGAGTACCTTTTTCCAGCACTAGACCCTTTTATTGAAAAAGAAGCATTAGTGCCTGAAATAATGGCAGCAGGAACACCAACATGCAATATTTTAACTTCAAAACAAAGGATTTTAACAAGCGAAATCTTGTCATTTATGGAGAAAGGAGGTGATACAGGAGGCAGAAATCAGGGCAAAGTGAAAAACATAATCGGGTGCAACTGAATGCCACTTTGATCTGTCTCAGTATCTATTTTAATGTACTGCCTTAACTTCCAAATTCCTTAAAACCCCCTTAATACCCAGATGTATTCAGCAGCCTATGTGCCGTTCATTGGAAACAAAACCTAAGAAAGCGCTCCCAGCACTGGGTTTTTACCAGTAGCAGAACAGATATGAATGTCTGTTCCTCTCAACAATCTTGGAGGAAACACCTAGGATCACTTCAGATACAATATATATTTGGAAAAAGAAAAGGAAAATGAGAAATAATCTGAGAGTAAGTCAATTCAAGAACTATCCCCCTAGCAGTTCAAAAAAGAACATGAAGGATCAGGCCCACAAGCCCCAAGACGGTATTGCAAAGCAGTGTTTCTTAAAAAACAAGGTATAAAATAGGAGAAGAAAAGATCCATTTGCTGCATCATCAACTAGGTGTCCAGCTACAGACCTGGAAAAACACACTGGGGGAGCAGTGTCACAAATGTTTCATACATACCAAGATGTCGGACATTCCACATGGGATCAATACTGGAATGCTGCTTGTAAAATACAATTAGCAGTGGAGGTGTCGTGATGCTGCCAGCCAGAGTCCTACTGTAAAGTTCCTCTCTGGAAGAGAAGATGAAAAGAAGTTGGGAAAGGATGCTTGTGTGGCCCTAAATCAGTTGATTTTCACTTGCAGCTGCATGACAGGAATCCACGGATACATACACAGCCCTTCATTTAACAGTTAAATGCCATCACCATAACCCAATCCCAGCTTGGGGGTACTTACGCTACATTAAGTGCCATCCACTTCTCCAGTTGCTTAGTGATGTTCTGTAATTTCCATTCTGTCAAATTGGCAACAAAAACTCCTGGATTGAAAGAGCAGGTGTTGGCTTTCATGGCAAGCTTTCGGATGGTCTCTTTTTTGTAATCTAGAAACCCAATGTAATTATACTGGGGAAAAAAAAGAGTAGAAATTAGCTTAAAATATGGTCAAATTACTATTTAAAGAAAAATTTTGCACAACTTCCAACAAACAAGCATAACTTGAAGTTGTTAAAGGAAATAGTCCTTCCTTTAACACACGAGAAAGAAAGCTTAAGAGGTCTAACATTTTAAAAATATGATTATATAAACTACATATTTTACGGAATGCTGCATGGTCTTAATAATACCATATTATTCATATGGTACCAGTCCCAGAAAAAGTACTTTTTGTATCTCCCTCTGATGTTCTAAGACCTCCTGCAGTTCCACACTGGGAATTGCTCTCGTTGTAAAGCACAGCAAAAATTCCAAGTGCTTTTACTGTGCCTAAACAGAAACTGCAGGTGTCATTTGTAACACAAACATCAGAGTAAATGGATTTGGATAGGGACAGTGACACCTTTAGGTTCACTGCATTTGGAAGTCAACCTGCAAGAACATTAAAACAGAGTGCCTGTTTCCAAAGCCTAGGATCTATAGTATTGTTACCACTGAATCAGAATAAAACTAACCTGATTGCCTGCTCCACGGACAGCAACTTTATTAGTCGTTGAGTCACAATCATCTGAAAATGCAGCTGCGTGTCCACGTTTCAGTGGAGTGTTGTAAAGTTCAAGAATATCATCTGAGAAATGCAAGTAAGCACAGAAAAATTAAAAGCAATCCTGATGAAGCGCTGAGTGACTTTTCGTTCAGTCCATTGCTACAGCAAATAAAACCACTCAGTTTAATCCAACTCGTTCATATTTACAAAGTTTTTACATCTTTCCTTGAAGTTTTTGGTTACTGTAAGAGATGGCATACTGACCTCAGCATAAGGCCAGTGGCAAAAGGCTACGAAAAGGTCCCATACCTTGCACTATTATATCATCATCCACATAGATGGCCTTCTCTGCATGAGGTACCAAACTGGGCAAGTAGAATCTTGCAAAGGTTAACTGTGAAAACAAGAAAGCAAAAGAAGTGAAGAATTAAATGAAAAATTGTCCAAATAAATGTGAAATTGACTGATAGTCCTGGCACTTATCTATGGCACTAATGTCCGAGACAACTTCTATCAAGGAAGTAAAATAGGCAGCAATATCCTAGAAGTTACTCAAAATAAACACGTTCCATCAATTCCCAATTCCCTATGAATTTGTACATTGATAAACTAACTTTAAAACTGGTCTATATTAGAATTTCTTACTTCTCCACATACATCTGTAGTATCTCTAAGGTGTTGGCATGCTTGACATGCAAGCTGCTGTGTTTCACTGTAGCTAGAAGCAAAAAATTATACTGGCCGTGCATATGTAGATATTAAAATCCATCTCTCACTATCTGGAAATTTATTCTTACTGAAATTTAGGAATTTGATTATAAAAAGATTGCTTCTATGCTAACAGATTTGGGTTTGATCTCTAGTTATTTTCAAAAGCCAATATCAAACTATATTGTTACTAACTAATAATTGCAAAAAGTAATCAACATCATCCTCACTGGTTTTAAGGTGTCTGTCTTTTGAGGATCCACTTGTACTTTCCCTTCTAAGACACGAGGGTCAAAATCCAAAATTCGGTATCTCAAATTTTTTAGAGCAGTGTTACTTAGCCACAGCCTGCAAACAGGAGAAAGGCACAGATTTTGTTAAATGAGACAAAATCAAAAGAAAAGCAAGAGATCCAACTGACAGTGACACAGATCTTGATCTGGCCACTCGCTTCTCGATCCAACAAACATACATACAGAATGTAATCCATGGCTGATGGTGGTGGTGTCCTGTATGACTGCAAGGGCATGCCCACTATCAGCATACTGCACAGCTGTGACACATGAAAGATATGAGGTTGCTTCTTATTTTATTAGAAATATATGGTCCTGTTATCACAGGTCCTTCACAAAAAATATCAGTGGGAATGGATGTGGGTAAAAACAAAAGGATCAAAGAACAATCTAGAAAAATGGAGAAACTTCATTGCCAGCATTTGAATTGCTTAGATGAAATGTAGGAAATAACTTTTACAACCCCTCCACCAACAAACTCCAACCCCACTGGAAAAGATGGCGCTTTTCCATCCCTGAAACATTACCAGAAGGAATGACTGTAGGACTCCCCACAGCAGCCTTGGCAAAAAGCTGCAATAAGCAGCAGCAGATAGGACTGCAAACAATTTAGGGGAGTGCAGTTCCAGGGAAAGCCAGCTCTTCCTCTTCTCAGAGATACTTAAGTTTTACAATATTGTGGGAATCTAATGAAAAGATCATTACCTCAGGTGATCCACAGTATCGTTCAAAGTAACAATATGGAAAACCACGTTGGATCTGGTGTGACGGTAAATACTGTTCATGGCTGCAATTGCACCCCCAAGCCTCTCATCTGATGCTGCAATGACCACAGAAATCTCCTTATCATTCCCTTCATCTGCCAGCCTCTGGGGAACTGCAGGTATGAAATCTATAGGCTGAAGTCCTACTGGATTTGAATCTGTGGAGTACAAATGGCATCACATACTTGTTTTATGCAAATGAAACACAGACAGTATTACCACCCTAAAATTCCCAACACCTTCAATTATTTCTACTATGCAAGCACTTGGATGTCTCAGCTGAGGTGTGGATTACAGCGTGCCGGTATCAAACACTTAAAATATAGCACCCGCTCTTGAGAATCCGAGATGTTAATGAATAGGAAAACATCACAGTTACAAATAAACTACATACATTTACTGTACGTATTCACACACAGCACAACAAGGTACTAAAATGAGGCTTAAACTACAATAGGCCACACTTAGCTTTGGTCCCCTTTGCAATGTCTATAATCTCACCGACTTCCCCCTCCCATTTATCCTAACCACCTTCTAATCTTCTCCACATCACCCTTCCCTCTTTTTCTTATACTTTCTTTTTCTCTTAGGTAGGAACCAATGAAGAAAACAGAAATTCCGTTGCGAATTTTTTCCCACCAAAGATCAAGGCATTAAGTACAGCCCGTGTTTATTCCAGGGATCACAGGTCATACTACATTATCTAAGCTGAAACCACAATAATTTGTACTCATAGAGTGCAGATAGGAAAATGGGAGATCAGCGTTGAAATTTATTACTAGACCACATCACCTGTAAAAGCTGGCAAATTGCCCACTACCTGCATGTTTTATAACAACACGAGTACCTTTCAGATGATCTAGACTATTACATATTACATAACTTTAGGTAATTTGAGGAAGACAGCAAACAGGGACTTGGCAGTTTGTGGGCAATATTCTGCTGTTCACAAGGCTGGGCTTCTGCTTCTGTTTGCCTTTTTCTGATGACAGAGCTCAACAGCTTTGACTTCAACTGATTCCTGGTTAAGGCCTGTCAGGCTCCTCTTCAACTGCTGTTGGGAAGCACCTGTACAACTGCTACCCAGGAGCAACAGCTCCCAGGAGCAGCAAGCTGGGACTTGGCAGTTAACGGGGACATGGAGAGGCTCTGTGGGACCACGTGCAGTTCTTAAAAGCAGACTCCCAAAAATGAAAAGGCTTTGCTAAGTAAACTGAATCATATCTTAATGACTTTTAAAGCCAGAAGGAACCCTTACTGCTATCTCACCTGGCCTCCTGACTGAGAAAAGTCATAGGACAGCAAGAACAGACAAGCCCACCAAGCTGAAGTTTCTTGGGTATGAGAATAGAAAAAGATCTACTCATAAGAGAGTACAAAAATTGTATCTTGTTATGCAAATGATTGACCATTATCATATACATTATTTCAGCAACATGGTGGTTTCTGTCTGGCCAGAGCATGTGCTTGCCCATCAATCTTAAAAAAAAAAAAAAAAAAAAAAACCACCAAACCAAAACAAAACCCCAACATACCTGACAATTCCCGTTTCAAGAAGTCACTGAGGCCTAGGAAGTTATGATGAAGAACTAGCAAAAATATGACAACAGCCACTATAAGGATGGAAATGTTCACTGAAAATTAAGAAAAAAGTTTATCAATATAACCAGAGAAAGATTGGGAAACTCAGAAAAGTACAAAAGAGATTTTAAAAAATTAGATGCACACATACACACATACCTTTCCTTAATGTCATTTTTCTCTTGTTATTTTATTTATTAACATAAACTTCCTGCAAACCTGCAAGAAAAAAAATACTGCGGTCACTTCCTACTTCCAGTGCATGCCTACATAAGGCATAGCACACTATCACCAGGAGTGTCAAAACAGTTTCTGAATGCAGTGAATATTTCCTTCTCTTAAAAAGATAAAACTGTATGTCACATTTTAATAACTGAGTATGGTATCTCAGTAAGTATGTAGCTACAATGACGTATCTAAAGAAGAACTCAGAGATGAAAAGGGAGTCACAGAGATCTTGCCCAAACTTTTTCTGCCAGTCAAAAGTGATCTGGAAAGAATCTGGAAGATTATATATGGTGGTTTTTTTTTTTTACTGTTGAACCAATTTATTTAACTATCTGAATGGTAGCATCCCAATAATAAGGCAAATGATTATAAATTTCTTTCCATACTTAACTAACTGCAAGATTTTGGCAGGACACAGTGATTATAAGATTTTAACAAATACCATTCCAAACCCATGAAATTCTCTACATAGAAGATAACAGAGTATCAGCTGAAGCGTCATCACACAAAAAAAGATCACAGAAGTGTAAAAGAAGGTATTACCATCATGTTATAGAAGGGAATAAAAAAATCCCCACACACTCAAAGCAATGATGCAATTTCGGTATGCAATTCAAACACACATATTCGTTATTTAATGGTACCAGTGATTGTGAAATCAGAACAAGAACTACGCATCCTGGAGTGTGAAGTAGCTCTCAAGTAACACACAGAAAGCACTCGCACCATAACAACATGCAAAATTCAAGAAACAGACACAGTTCTGTATGAAAACACTTGCAAAATTACCAAATTAAGATACCACAGTGTTGTGACTATTATGTGTGTCAAACATAACCATCTTCTTTCTGCTGTTGCGTTTCTCCCATGGGGAAGACAGACTAATCAAACACAACACATAAATGCCGTGTGCCATGCCTGCAGCACCACTGAGGTCGGTCAGGACACGCAGCCTTAGTTTATAGGAGTACAGCGCAACGTCTCTCTTTAAAATGAAACGTGTGGCAGCGCTCCTCCGTCCCCGCGGCAGCGATGCGGAGGGCGCACGGACGTGTACGCAGCTGCCCCTTAAAGACACCACAGCGGCCTGTGCTAAAAGCATTTACAGATTGACTCTTCCAGAGACCACTATCAGTGCAAACACAACCCCACGCTAAAACACTCAAACGCCTGCTCAAACCCTGCCGCAATCCCGGTTACTCCGGTGGCGCGGTTTACACACACCAAGTTGGGCACACGACCGTCTCCCCCCGTTTCACTGCACCCTCCACGAGCTGCATGGCCCAGCAGCACAAACCGCGCTCCCTCGGGCCGCCGC